GATGGAAAATATTTAAAAATTATGTCTGTATGGGACATGTACAGAATTTTTGGTTTTTATTCCTTATACAGTACATCAACTATTTTCATAGTATTTATATTGCATTGATTATTGTAAGTCACTGGGAAAAGTACATAGAAGTATAGCTTCTGCGTGAATACTATGCCATTTTAAGTAAAAGACTCAACTGTTTCTAAAGTTTGGTCTTCATGAAAGATCCTGGACAGGGAAAGAAACTGTGAGTGTTTATATTGTTTGATCTGTTTTGCATGCCTGTATCTTGTAATCTGAGTAACTATTTTAAAGATAACAATATGCAATCTTGTAACTATTGTTAAATTTCTACCACCTTGTTTTAAAATCCTATATGATTTCTGTTTTGCTCTATTTTTATTGTTTTGTTTTTTTCTAATTTCTTTAAAATAAAAAAGGAGGATCTTGGAACCAATCCTCTGTGGTTACTGAGAAATGAGTTTACGCAGTTCTAAAAAATAATATATCATGGTGGTCCCAAAGGAGAGGATCTGCAGACCCAGGAGTTAGACATGATATCTAGCTTCTCCTCTACCATGGTTCTGGGTAGGTAGGGAAGAGAATTCAGCAAAGGCTTCATGGAGGAGGTAGGCTTTGTTGTTCAGAAGGTGGAGCTTTGGGCAGGTAGGATGATTTCCCTGGGCAGGTATTTTAAGTGGTAACATAAAGGGTGTTACATCTGGAGTGTGTAGGGGAAGGCACTCATCAGACTTTCAGTGTCAAGCTGAGAAGTCAGGGGTAGCCTGTCATTAGGCCAAGTACCTCGGGAACAGGTTAGGGGATAGGAGAATAGTTGCCAAAAGGATAACCAGAAATGGAAGTCTTGCTTCCCTACAAACCTGCAGTGAGACCTAAAGTATTATGTACAGCTCTGAGCACCTTTTTAGGAAGACTTTAGATTGCTTATGTCCACTTGTATGGTGAGAGTTTCAAAAGCTTCTCAAACACTTGGCAGAACCTGAAATTTTTAACAGGGAGGAGAATAGGTTTGGGGAAGATGGAACAGAAAACTCTTTACTCAGTATCTGAAGACTCATCCAGTGGGACAAGGATGCATTTTTCTGTTGTAGGGAGGCAGCCCTTGCCACAGCGCCTGTGCACAGAGCTGCCAGGATGAGTTACTTGGCCCTTGCACCAGAGGAGGTCATGTAGAAAACTGTTAAGTATCACATTGGCTGTAGACATAAAAGATATTTAATTCATTTCAAGCCTAGGATGTGACTAATGGGATTTTTTCCTCAAGAAAAAAATGTATTACTTGCTTTTAAGACCACTATTTATACCTTTTTTTTAAAAAAATGATGTATCTGATTCACATGCCTTGGCCAGGAAAATGTGCCTTGGCTGCATGTTTGCAGGGCTGATTCACATACACAGTTTAATGATAATCCAGTTTTATAGGTTTAGACTCTTATCATGCTTTGTACATGGGAAATACATGTGTCTTTGTAGAGGGAGATCTTAGTCATGTTCTTGTGCTGGGACACAACACCTAACACATTTTATTTTATTTTATTTTTTTGGTACCAGGCATTGAACTCAGGACCTTGCACTTGCCAGGCAAGTGCTGTGCCACTAAGCTATACCTCTAGCCCCAACACCCACATTTTAAAGAAGAGTTTTATTGTACCTTACGGTTTGTAGAGGTTTGAGTTTATTGTTTGCCAGCTCCAAGGCAGTGTGGCGTAGCACAGGTGCACAGTGGAGGAGAAGGTACTTATGCTATGGTGGCCAGAAAGCATAGAGCGTGAAGGAAGCAACTGGGAAGCCAGGTAAACCTGGCCAGGTCACAACCCCAGTGACGTTCGTCTTTCAGATGGACCCTGCTTCCTAGCAAGAATGGTAAACCCCATAATCAGTCACCATCCAAAAGCCTCAAACACATGAGGCTCTTGGGGAACTTTTAGATCTGTGTCACAATGGGGACTTGGAACTGAAATCCAGATCAAGCAAAAAGCATCTTTTTCATATCGCTTTGTGACTGCTTTCTGTCAAAATGATGGGATAGAATGCTGGGTCAATAAAGCAGGAAAGTAACAGGGCACATCACCCCCTGTATTCAGTTCTGCCTTCTGTAATTGAGGTCAGTTTTAAAGTTGGCATCGGGAAGTTAAAAGGTTAAGATGTGATGTGTACATCACCACCTCCCCCTCGATGCATGTATTTATGATGTGTTGCAGACATACTAATAAAGAAAATGACTCGTCTTGTGTGAGCACCTTCTCCTGTTTGGGTTTTTGGTTCTCCTTTTCTGTTCCTATTTTTTGTCCGTTTTTTTACTAGTTTGTGTTCACAGTACATCATGTCTGCATTCCTTGTGGGGGCCATCTATGTACATAACACATCATAATTCTTTTTCAGCACCTTCCCTCACTCTGTCCTCCATCTCTTGATCTCCTTTCAATCTGAGAAAAATCTATCTCCTTACTTCCTGTTATCGTCTATGTGTATCTATGTTTTGAGTTTCTCATATAAGGGAAACTGTGATATTTGAGCTTGTGTGTTTGATTTATTTAGTTTAATAGTGTGATCTCAAGCTGGACCCATTTCCCTCCAACTGACTCAGGTTTGTCCTTCTTTATGGCAGAGTAGTACTCCATTGGTATAAATACCCCATTTTGTTTATCTGTTCATCATCGATGGACATTCAGGATGTCCTCTTCCCATTCCTAAATGGTGCCTTTTCTTTTATTTTTCCTAGTGAGCTGCAGGATTTCCTTCATTGGAAGCTGTTCTTTTTCCCATTTCCTCTTTCTGTCTCTGTCCTTTCTCTGCCACATCATGGTGGCCAGGAAGCAGAAAGAGAGGAAGGAAAGGGCCAGGGACAAATATGCCCTTCAGTGGTCCATTCCCAGTGCCCTACTTTCTCCAGCTAAACCCCAGCTCCTAAAGTTTCTTCTACTTCCCAATAGTCCCACCCACTGGGGACCAAACCTTGACACATGACCTTGGGGGGGGACACTTAATCAGATAGTAACAGTCCTCCCATGTTAGGTGTGTGTGTGTGTGTGTGTGTGTGTGTGTGTGTGTGTACATTTTTAGTGAATTAGGAAAGCGTGGAGGCTATTAATTTGACTCCACATCAGGGGATCTGTGGGTAGAGAAGAACTTTCTTAATGTTAAACTCTCCCATCTCCACTACATTCATGGTAGTGGATAAAATAGCATTGGCCTGCACTTAACAGTTTATTGGTAACTATGTGTTTACTGTAACAAAGAAGTAAATATGTATACTGTTAGATCTTAGGCTCTACAAAGGCATAAGTAACATTGATCTTCCTCACCATTCAGTCATTTAAACCTTCATTCATGTTACGAACATGTATCGACTCCCTAATATGTACGGCAGATTTTGAGCGATAGTAATTTTTCGTGTCTTACTGATTCTTTTAAAATTCATTTTATTTTATTTTATTTTTGGTACGGGAATTGAACTCACAGCCTTGTGCTTGCCTGGCAGGCACTAAACTGCCAACTCCTCTTTTTTAATTCTATAAACTAAAAAATAGAATTATTCTATAAACTAAAAAATAGAATTATTATTATTTATTATTAAACTAAAAATAGAATTATTATATTATGAAATTCAGATAGATTATTTTCTAGCAGCTCAGGGAGTCTTGCCTGGAGGGAATGAAAATTGTACTGTGAAATGCAAAGGAGGTATTTGGGGGAGGTTGAGGAGGATTCCACATTCCATGCAGATGGCCCTGGAGGAGGGAGCTAGGTGCATGGCCACGTGAAGAGAGAGGGCAGTGTGGTTACAGACCAGAGGGCAGAGGACGCCTGGAGGGGTGGACTTGGAGCAGGTATGGGGACTGTGGCATGCAGACTGCAAAGGTCAGAGAAAAGTGTTTCGCTCATTTTTTAAAAAATTTTGAAACATTTCAAACCTAGAAGAAAATTGCCCAAATAATAAATTCAGTTATCCAGATTTTTAAATGATTAACATTTTGCCATGTTTATTCTTTGTTCTCTTTTTTCTCTGTCGCCATCTCACCTGCCCATCATGCACACACATATGCAGTTTTTTTTTTTTTTTTTGCTAAGTGACTTAAAACCAGAATATAAAAATAATTTCACGCTACCCTAAATTTTAAAGCATGTGTTTTTTGAAAACAAAGATAACTTCTGGCATATTGTAGCATATACACCCAGGAGAGTAAGCATTGATAAATTATTACCTAATATACGATTGGTATTACATCTTTATTATTCCAACAGTGTATTTTACTGTTTTTTAAAAATCCAGAATCCATTGGATTTGGACAGAAAATTACGCCAGTTATTTTAAAGACCATTCCTCAATTTAAATTTGTTTGATTTTTCCTCATGATTAAATTGAGGCTGATTATTTATGGGCAGAACACTGCTGAGTGATGGATCCATGGAGAACGCACTACCTGGCCTGCTATCAGTTTCCATTATCTTAACTTTGATCATCTGATTGAGGTGCTGCCTACCAGATTTCTGAATATTGAAAATAACATTTTCTTTTTGTTGGAAATAATTTGGGGATTGACACTTTCAAATTCTGTCAATGTCTGGTTCCACGATGATTTTTCAACCATGTTTGCACCGTCTCTTGGGTCCATTGCTCAAGATAATTATTATTCTGGTCACTACAAGATAGTGATGTTTTTCAAATGTTGTGATTTTTCTACATTAATGGCTATTTTTTCTGAAGATGAGTCTTGCCTTTTCCACTTTTTAAATCAGAACCATTATGAACTCCTAAAATATAAAGTGACAACACGCATTTGTAATTCATTTCTAACTTGCATCATTTTCATGTTTCAGTTTTTCTGTTATTCAGCCAGCAGGAACCCTTTATATGAAAGGTTTTTGAAAAAATTGTTGAAGCAAAATAGTTTGAATTAAGGAATGTATCTGTATGTTTACCATGGTTTTTTCTCCTGAACAGCTATTTGTCAATCTAACATTAATGTATTCCTATTTTTCTCTAGGTCTCATGGATTAATTTGCTCTCATTCACCAGAAGCCTAACAGATAAAATCTTTGTGCTGTGTATCAGAGAGTGCTTTTGAAGATGATTAAAGCCATGTGGCAGTGTGCCCTTTCTAGAGGAGGACAAGCAGCTTGAGGATTTCCTGTTAGTCACATTGCGGCTTGAAGGAAACCCCTTTCCATTAAGGAAGACTGATGGCCAGCAGCCCCCGCTGAAGAGCTCAGAATGAGCACCCCTGTGGCTCCTAAGAAATCATATTTCAATCAGTTGCAGGACAACCGAAATGGAGCAAAAAATAATAATGAGAGTATTCTAAGTCTGGGAGATACAAATGCCAATCAAATCATGTTGGAGGTCCACACCCCTCAGGATGAGTCTAAGACGTGTGACCTGACTGATAAAATTGGAAATGCTAATTCAAGTGAGCTGGAGCACCATCCTCACTTCCAGAAGGAGCCTCATCAACTTCCGGGCTTTTGGAGAGGGTCTCAGGCTGGCTCCACAAGCTCAAAAGACGTTAAACTTTCTCCTACTTTCCCTGGGGTTCTGCATGAAGACTGTGTGAGGGAGGGAGGCACAGATACCTCCCAGACTCCTCAGAGTGCCCAGGGGCCAAGCCTGCCAAACTGGAGGAACGTGATGAGTGAGGCCAGTTCCGAGGTTTTGGCTAAAAAGGGGCTTGAAGCTCCTTGGCACGTTCGCAAGGACAAATGGGCCAAGACCCTTGACAATGAAGAGCTGAAAAGGCATTCTTTGGAACAAGCAAGCAGCTGTGCGGCTGTGGCTGGGACCATGGCTCTTGGAAGGCCCTATGCCCCTGAGCCTGGGGGTCATGTGTCCAGGTGTGGGGAGGAGCTGCAGAGGACACTGGCTGACCACTTTCCAGAGACAGTGTTTCCTCCAGCTTACAGTACCTCAGAGGCAAAGAGTGTACGTCCTCCTAAACCATCTACCTCAGAAGCCAGGGACACCATCCCCTCGGAGGCCCAGGTGGAGGGGGCACATGAACTAAATGTTTGCAATGAGCACAAGTCACGTTCTGCCCATCCTGAGCCTGCTCTGAATTCCACTTTGGTGTCAAAAGAAATCCTGAGTCATCCCGAAGCACAATTAGGTCAGGGAAAGGAAGAGCCGAAGCTGGAATCAAAATGCATTGAACTCAGGGCTGGGGAGGAGCTAAAATCACCCCAGGCGGGTGACCTGGGATGTCAACAGAAAGAGAGGACGTCACTCCGAGAGAGAAAGGAGACATGTAGGGAAGCACATGGAGAAGCCACTAGTGCCACTAGTGGTCCATCAGACAGCATCTGTCAGCATCTCAGAGTGGGAAGATGCAGCAGTGAGGGGTCAGGAGCAGGGACAGGTGTGGAAGAGCCTTTCCAGACCACCCTCGCACAGGTCCCTGCTTCCTTGGGAGTGCCTGGTACTCAGCTAACTGGCAGAGCCTCACTAAGCACAGGAAGTAGATTGGGTGAAATGACAGCCGGCAGCTTTTCTCCAGAAGGTGGCCAGGTAGCCACTGTTCCTAATGGCCTGCCTGACAGCACACCCTCACAGGTCAGTGAGGAGACAAGGAGGCTGGACACTGGGAACAGGGATAGGGCTGTGGGGTTGGCAGCAGATCCTGCTGTGAGAGAGCACAAGGCTGAGGTCCCTGAGTCCTTGTGTCTTCAGACTAAAAGCTCAGAAGTAGGGGAAAGCAAACATGTGGCAACACTCATGGCGGAACCTAAGAACCTTCTAGAAAATGCAGCCAAGACTGTTGTGGCTCCATCTAAAGAAGATTCATTTCTCAGTACCCCAGCTACCCTTCACCCAGAGACAACTGTGAATGTGACTCACCAGCCCGCACCGCCCAGTAGCATTTTCCAGGACCTCGATGTGTTTAGTGTGGGTACAGGGTCACCCTCAGTGGTCCCACCCTCCACTGACAGTGTGCAGCAGGTGAACGCATCCTCAGAAGTGCCTGACAAGAACACCTGCCCCAGTGGGATCCCCAAGCCTGTCGTCACACATTCCAAGGGCGCAACGTCCTTGCAGGAAGGAACGGAGAAACTTCTGGTAGAAAAGGTGGAAGACAGAACAGACACAAAGCCCATCCTGATGCCCAAGCCCAAGCACGTGAGGCCTAAGATCATCACCTACATCCGGAGGAACCCACAGGCCCTGGGCCCGGTGGACACTTCACTGGTTTCTGTGGGTCTTCCCTATGCCCCTGCCCAGGAGGACCGCGCAGCAAGTGATGACCTGAAGTCACCTGCCAGCCTCTATGAGAAATTCAAACCCGACTTGCAGAAGCCTCGAGTCTTTAGTTCTGGACTGATGGTGTCTGGGATCAAGCCCCCGGGGCACCCTTTCAGTCCAGTGAGTGAGAAGTTCTTGCAGGAGGTAAGGACACGGCATTGTGATACAGCTACGAAGTGGTGTTTGTTCAGTGAACTGTGAAAGCAGATTGCAGATGCTAATGGGTACATTTGTGCAAAAGTGGGTGGTTTTAATTGCAAAAGTTGTCTAGAACAGTGGGTATTTTTGACTAGATGATCCTAATCGATTGACCACATCTAAGGAAATCTATTTAAATCTATTTAAATTTCACTCAGTGTAACATAAAATTAGGGTAAGTATTTAACTGGCCTTGATACTCGAATACATGACCGTAACTATTCTTTAAGCCAGGTCAAAACAAAGAAGAATCCAAAGTAAATATATTCTTCAAATAGATTGGACTTATTCTTTAATGGGGCGTATTTTTTTGGGGGGGAGAATCTTCTCTTCATGCACATGAAGAACATGGTGACCAAGCAGAAAAATAATGTGTTAGGCATGGCTTATTTATTTTAGTAAATATAATTACTACTAACACTTAGTTGACTGCTTACTATATATTGAGTACATATAATGTATGACATGTAATCCTCAGTCCTCACTAATCCCTAGATTAATTCTCTGAAGGTTGGTATTGTAGTTTTTGTCAAAAAACGGAGAGGTTAAAGTCACTCATCTAGTGCCACAAAATAGGGTCCTCAAGGAGATTCTCCTTCAGGCCTGTGCTGTTCAGAGATACTGTGCCCATAAGATTTGTCTCCTGAAGGAGTCTCTCTTTGTGGCCCGTGATGGTTGCTTCTAAGGAAGACACATTAGATCAGCTTCCACCTGAAGGCCTGCGGGACAGGAAATGGAATCTGTGGGACGGCTCAGCCCCTTCGATGTGCTCAGTGCAGCTCCGTGCATGTCTGCTCTGATTTTCTTTTATTCTTCCTCTCTCTCGTCTGCACTTCCCTCTGTTAAGAACACTCGTCTCCCAGTTATCTGAATGTCTCTCTCCCTCATTTTCCTTGGGTCTGTGTGTTCATATATCATCTCTTCGAAGTCTGTCCACCTTCCCTTCAGTCCACTTTCTCTAGTTTATTGCTTCCTAGATCTTACCTCCACCTGACATGTATTTTGTTGCTGTTTTGTGTACTCATTAGAATGCAGATTTCACAGGAGAGAGGGGTTTTTTTTTCAAGGTATGTTCCCAGAGTTCAGAATGGTCTTGCTACTAAAAGATGCTCTTTCAGACTGGGGAAGTAGCTCAGGGGTGGATGTTTTACTAACATTTGTGAAGCCCTATAGTTGCTCCCTGGCACTAAAAATAAAGAAATGTTGCGTGATGGTTGAGTTAGGCTGCTCAACTCATCAGACCAGATTCACAAGCAAAAATATATGAAGACTATAAGATAGAGTAAGCCCAAAGTTAGACTCCAGTTTGATTGAGTATATTTATATATTTAAAGCTTGTATTAGTTACAGGAGGAATTATCAGATCTCGCACAGAGAAAAACATGAATTTGTCCTCACAGTAGACATTGACCAAGGTACGCACTGATAAGGATCCCAATAAAATGACTGTCTTCATTGTCCCGGGACAGGCCCTTGGGAATTCTAACTCTGGGTGTGCCCAGAGCCTGTGAGTGTAACTGGCTTCCCACCTCCTAGAGCAAGAGAGAGATTGGGGACACAGAAGTCAGCCCTGGTTTCACCGCATGGGGCTGGGTAGTCTCCTGTGTGTCAGTGGTTTCTCCTGCAGTGGCCTGTGTGAGGGACATGCTCTGGCCAGGGGATACTCAGGTGTAGCCCCTGTCAGTGACATCCCTAACAGTGGACTGTTCTATTCCAGCTTTATGCATCAGCTTTTGAGTTGAGTGATTTTCAAGTTTCCAGCTCCTCATTCACCTGGGCGTGTCTCTAAGTCAGGCTTGCTTTCTGAAGCCTCTGGGAGCTGACTTCCCTCCTCTAGGACCCTGGCCACTAAGGCTGCTTAAATGGATGAACCTCCTTAAAGTATCACTGTGCCACAGAAGTTCCATGAGACACCCCTGGGTTTTCTCTGCCATACATACTTATTTTCATCCTTTGCTTATTTGTTTGTTTTGAGACAGGGTATTTCAGCTGGCCTTGAGCTCATTTTGTAACCCAGATTGGTCTTAATCTCCCAGTGATCCTCCTGCCTCAGCCTCCTGGAGTGTTGGTATTAATGGCATGCATACCATGCCTACTATCTGCCAGACATTCTTAGGAAGGAAACTTGTTTTGGAGGTGAAAATGCTCTGACTGTCTGCAGTTATTTCTCTGCGACCTCCTGTATTTTTCTTCTTTACTCTCTCAGTGTTGCTGTGCTTCTTCCAAGAATAATTTTTGTATCATATGCATATTTTCCCCAAACTATTTCCTCTCTTTGCTCCCTCAGAAGTCTCCTCCAGTGTCCAAGAAGCAAGAATTGCGCAGATAATGTGTGGCTTGAATTGTTCTGAGGGTTTGGAGAGAACCCTGTCGCAGGCACCTCCTGGGGCCAGCCATTATCTTGGGGGCCCTTTCCTGCTGTAATCAGTACATCTCAGGCCCTTTGTCAAAGCTACTCAACACAGCTTGGGGTTTCGTGTGAATTTTTGTGGTAATGCTCTTTAATCGACAAATGGGAACATGGGTAGGGGGGCCTTGGCTATTTGCTCCTCCAGTTACAGCTTGATAGAGCCCACCTACACCCCTCCTGCAGCCTCCCTCCCTAGTAGGGTGCCCAGGTCCTGAGCTCAATCTCTAGGCGAAGAACACATTGCTGCCCAGTTATGTCAGAAATGCCTTTCAGTTACAGAGGCACGTATTTTTAAAACAGTAGGAAAGTCTTAAAAATAAAATCCCGGACTAGTTCTGGGCTTTTCTGGTGTTACTGACAGATCTCTCCTGGCTAGACAGCACAGACAGAAACGGAAATCAAGAGCAAGGCTCAACCAAAGTGAGGCTCCTTCTCACTGGGAAGATCAGCACCAACACTGAGAGCTTCCGGAAGTGGCCTGCGAGATCATCCAGGATCTAGTCAGGCCGAGGTGGTGAATACATGCCCTGGTCTCTTCTCGTGGCCCTTCAGAGATCTCAGGGTCCTTCTCTCCCTTTGGGACTTAGGAGCCCTTAATTTTTGATGAAGGGACGTGGAAAGCAGGAAACAGGAGCAAGCAGACAGGGAGGTGGTGTTTCACGGTATGCAGATAGGAGTCCCCGACTGCCTCTGTGTCCACTCATCTCTGAGGGGCACTGTGGTCATCAGAGCTCTGCAGAGAAAGACAACAGAGAGAGAGAGAGAGAGAGAGAGAGAGAGAGAGAGAGAGAGAGAGAGAAAGAGAGAGAGAGAGAGAGAGAGAGAGAGAGAGAGAGCGCACATGCATATGCATGTGTAAGAGAGAGAATCCTGTGTCTACACACATATGTATATACAGAGAGAAATTTTTAATATTCAGTTCTTCGTATTTGTGGACTCAACCAACCACTGATTGAAAATAGGAAAAGTAACTGTGTGTGCCAAACATATAGACTTTTTTCTTTATTCCCTAAACAATATAGTTTAGTTATTAACTACAGAGTATTTATATTGTATTAGATATTGACAGTAATCTAAAGATAATTTAAAGTAGTGGGAGAATGTATGTAGTTTGTATGTAAATGATAAAACAATTCATATAAGAGAGTTGAATTGATTTTGGTATCCACAGTAGATCCTGGAACCAATGTCTCAGATACCAGAAAATGAATATATTTTTGAAAAATGGCTCACGTGATTGTGGAAGCTGGTAAGTCCCATATCTGCAGGGTAGGCCAGCAGCCCAAATTCCTAGGGAAGATTGCATACTGCCGTTTGAATCTGAATCACCTTCAGGGAAGTCATTCTGTTTTTCCCTCAGCTGATTAAGGCACACCTTAGGTTACAAAGGATGATCTGCTTTATGCAAGGTCTGAAGATTTAAATGTTATCCTCATCTAAGGAACACTTTTACAGTAATGTTTGTTTCTAGAATAACATCTTAACTTTGCTCATTGCTGAGCCAAAGTAACGAATGCCCAAAGTTAAGGAAGGAGAGGTTTATTTAGCTCATGGTTTGTAGAGGTTTCAGTCCCTAATCAACTTGCTCCATACAGTGGGCAGAGAGTAGCAAAGCAACACATAGGGAAGACAAGCCTCTTTATGGCCCTTTCCCTTATCCGGACTGCTGGGGTTGGGGTACTGCCAATCTAGCTGGCGGACAGATCCAGCAGTCACCCACCCTTTTTTTTTTTAATTTTATTTAAAAGGAAAAAGAGAAAAACACAAAACAAAACAAAGCGCTGTAAGGGTACACGTAATACAGAACTACAAAAAAAAAAAAAAAAAAAGACAGTAAGAAATCACCAGTTAATAGATTACATATTATCAGCTTAGAAATAGTTGCTCAAATCACAGTATCAAAGAATACAAAGAGGACATTCAAACAGTGAGACTGCAAACAGTTGTGTTCAATGATCCAACCAAAAACATTAATATGGTCAGCTATTTAACACCCCTAAACACACTTGCTGTTGTATCCTTTAGAGCTCTTTTTTTTCCCCTTTCTTTTTTACAACAAAATTTACACATTTTGGGTTTTATTACTCCTTAGTTCTTATTACTTTTTTGGGGGGGAGAGAATAAAGTCAAATATGGCAAAACAAAGCTGTCAGTCAAAACCAAGGATAGACATAGCACATGATGTAAAACAGAGTACAAGGTTATCAACAGTGGTTATCAACGATGTCTCTTGTTTCCTTAAAAAGAATTGTCTATCTCATTAGATATTATAAAGTTGAACAAAACAGTAGAGAACAAGACCAATAAAACTTAGGCATTGTAAACATTACAGGACTTCCAAAGGAGACAATAGTCAAACCAGCATGGGCATCTTAGTGAATCTTATTGCCTTCGCCTATACCCTCAAACTTGATACTATCATACAGAATGGAACAGAGTCTAATCAGTCAAAACAAGATCGTGGGAGTATTACAGGATTTCAAAACAAGTCACCCACCCTTAATCCCAGCATTATACACTCCAGATTCAGCCACCTCCCAAAAAACTATATAACTGCATGAGGCTTTGGGTGGACATCTACACACAAACCTTAACAAATAATGTATGAGCAACTGTCTGGACGCTATGTTTGATCCATGCTGATACTGAAAATGCAGCCTCACAGGCTCCCCTTCTGCTTGGCGCTAGTCCAGTGGCCTCTCAGTGAAGCTCCGGTGTTTACCTGGTGCATCAAACATACAATCCCACTGAAAATAGGCCAGGGCACAAAGGAAGGGCCAATGCAAGGAGAGTTTGCTTGTTTATGTCCTTTGATTTCACAGATTTGTTTGAAACTGTGGGAATTTTTTTGTTTGCTTTCAAAGTTACTTCTCTAAAAATACTCCCTTGGAGGAGGACAGGCAGGAGGATTTAGGAATGCTCTCTATCTGTTTATGACTCTGTGTGGTTGTGTGGTATTTATAGTATAGGTGAAAGAAGAGAATGTGCAGCCTTTTGTGGATTCCCTTGTTTAATTAAAAATGCATAAATGTGGCTTCTAAGATATACTTTTCATCTTTTTGAAGAATCTGTGCTCTTATAAGAAACAAACCACCCAATAAAATAACAGGCACTGCGGTTATTGGAATCATTGAAGTCATTGTTGAGAGTGAGTTTTGACCTGTCATATCTGACTATGCATTTCAAAGGGTCTCGAGTAATTACTGAGATCCTGAAAACTTCACACTGTATAGGTTGGAAAAGTTATTAATTTCCTCAGGAGAACATTTGTTCAAAGCAGTGAACTATAGCACTAAAATTTGGAAATTAAAATAAAATGTAGAAGTTATCTAACTAAAAGAATAAAGCCAGAAAGGGAAAAAGAAAGCAGAGAACAGTTTTATCAGAGAGCACATGTAGAATGTTCTTTGACAAGAATATTATTTTCTGTAGCCTGAATACAATCTATCTACTGTAACAGTAATGCATATTTTACAATGTGATTATAATAAAACTTTGAATGCCTAAATCGTTTGTTTCAACAATGTCAGTTTTAAGGAGAACTTTGTATTATCTCTTTCTACACTAAGAGTATCAAATTAAAGAATTAAATTGTCTCTTCAACAGCCTGGATCAAAGCTTTTATACCCCCTGTTGAAGAATATTGTTAAATGTTTGTGCCTCTCAATAGAAGTTTGACACAAAATGTATTGTGATTTACAGCAGAATTAATTAACAAATACATCTTTCCATACATTGTCCCTGGTAGTGTTTGGTTACATTAAAGGAAGTGGATTGTGTAGTTCTGACTAATTTTTCACGTTTAATATAGGAAACAAGAGGCTCGCGCTGTAGCTTAGTGGTGGAGCACTTGCCCAGCATGCAGGAGGCCGGAGGTGCAGTCCTGAGCGCTGTGGGGAGAAAGGAAGCAAAACAGACATCAGTACTGCAGACAAGCATTGTGGGAATGCAGTGGGACTTAGGAGTTGTATTTTAGTAAACTTAAGCCCAGGAGAAAGTAACAATATTGTTACATTATTAAACTAAGGAAAGAATGGAGCAAGACTCCTTTGTTGCACAAGTATCTGTTGACTTCAGCTACATAGAGACACTGTTCTAGATTCAATGCATTTACCCGCCTCAGACTCTTCCCTAGAACTTTTTCCAGTGGAATTTACCCACATGTTCCTCAGACCACACTTTACCAGGGAAGGCAGTTGGACCGGGGCTTTCTGTTTTTAATGATGTAAACACACAGTAGAGGCTTTAAAAGTTTTCTAATTTTTCTAACTAGCTGTCTCTCCCATATCACAGAATATGTTTTATTTTCTACACTGCCTGTGATAATAAGGTTTATTCATATGTATAAAGTTCACCTACTAAATAGTGCCTTTTCTCCATAAATATAATATTCATAATATGAATAATATTTATAATTTTATTCATATTTGCTAAACTCTTTTTTTGCTTCATTGACATTGGGTAGAGACTGCCACTGTCTCAAATTCCAATTACTTTGTAACAGTGAAAGTAGAGAAATCTTAAAGAGTGAGTTCTTTTTTCTCTAGTGGAAATTCAGATTTATATTTGCTAGAACTGGAAAGAGACTGTTCAGTTGCATTGTCAGTTTAGAGATGAGCATACTGGGCCCAGAGATAGTGAGTGGTCATCTGAGGTCAAGCAACTCAGTGGAACCGTGGCCGTGGTTTGAACTTGGATCTCCTGACCTTGTGTTCTCTTACTACGCTGTGAAGTTTCTGATTGAGCTTCTGGTCATTTATTGTAGGTGGCAGACCACTCTGGAAAAGAGGAATTTTGTTCTCCTCCCTGTACGCATTACGAAGTGCCCCCAACTTTCTATCGATCAGCCATGCTCCTTAAGCCCCAGTTGGGATTAGGCGCAGTGTCCCGACTACCTTCTGCAAAGAGCAGGATTCTGATTGCAAGTCAGCGGGCTTCAGCGAGTGCCATCCACCCACCAGGACCCATCACTGCCACGGCCAGTCTTTATGCTCCGGAGCCCTCAGGTAAGGAGTCTGTGGCTGCTGCAGTTCCCTGCTGTAGGTGAAACAGTTCTCACCTAAAACATCGTAACTATATGAAACTTGAATACGTCTTACCTCTTAAAAGGAGCCTTTTCCTATTCCTCTGTCAGTAGATGCAAATATTTGGGAAAACTTCTCTATTTACAATGTCATCCTCTGTGTCACCTTTACAGTGTTGGCTTTTGTTACTGCTTTCTGGTTTCTTAGAGTTTATCCTGCTCTAAAACATCCCATAGAGCAGCGTTCAAAAGGCTTTTTCTGCCAAAGGCCAGAGAGTGACTACGGCACTGTTTGTGCTCCTGGTTATCTATGTCATTGATACCTGAAGCTGTCATTGATAGCCCGAAGGCCGTGTTAGTCTGAAAGTAGCACCAGGCTGTGTGAGAGTGAGCAGGGGCATCTCAGTGCAGCTTAGCTGACAGAACTAGGTGGGCATGGGTGCCAGTCTTGAACGATGGTTTGTCAGAGATTCCTAGGGTGCCACAGTGGGCCCCTCGCCATCAGCTGCCCACCCATCTTACGGACCTCACATTTGTTGCAGGGTGGGGCTGCTGCCCTTGCTGACCCTCCACTCCTGTTCTGTGGTGGTGGCTAGGATCATTCTCGAGGTTCTCTACACTTCTGTTCTCTGTTTCTTATTATTGGTTTCCTCAATGATTACTATATTACTTTATTATAGAAGTAACACATGCCTATTGTAAAAAAATTAGATATAAGCAAACATTGCAAAGCTAGACCAGTATGATAAATTTCTGAATACAGACAAACATGAAGAAGAAACACTTTATACTTAGATTTTAGCACCTGACTAGTGTTAATTCTGTGAAATATCTTCTAATGTAGTTTTCTTAGGCATTTTTCAATAATTGAAATGACACGAGGTGTAAATCTTGATCTTTTCCACAAATGTCATATGTAAGAGTTTCCTATGTGATCAAAATATTTCAGAAATATTTTAAACAGTATAATATTTTTTCTTGTTTGTTGGTGTATGCATTGTCCCACAAGTTTTAGATACTTTTGCTCTGAAAGTTGTAGATTTAGGACTTTACCTTAGATAAAACAGAGCTGATGCTTTCTTGTAGCATATAGTCTAATTGATGGAATAGGAAGAGAAAAGAAAAAATGAGAAAAGAAAGATAAAAACCAGGTGGCGGCTGGATTGTAAATCAGAAAGGAAAGGAGTTGAATGGAAGGGAGAGGAATGAAGAGGAATTATGATATATCATGTATAGGTGCAAATTCCCTATGAGGAATGTGATCATATAACCAGTAAACTTAACAAAAAATAAAAAAGTAGACACAAAGAGGATATATACTTGTAAATTTGGTAACTATTATGGAAGCATGGAGGAAAATACTTTGAGAAATTATAACCGAGAGAGCCGCTGGAAGAGTCTCACGGTCTGACAGCATTGCTTCTGGGACAAACTCTTGGAGAAAACAGGAGGAATGCGTGGCCGTAGGGAATGCTATCAGGGCTTGTTACCCACTTTCCAAGTGCTGCCAGTAGAGTTCTGCTCATTTCATATTGCTTTGGATAATGTGGCAGTTTGAATTCTTGTATATAATTGTCTTTGTATTTTCATAGCATAAATTATTGAAGTTAATTATTGGATAAAGGCATAATATTTTTCAGGCCAACTAATTTTCCAGGGGGCTTCTAATGGTTGTTTTTGTGCTAGTGTTTCTGGAGGGTGCTATTTGCTTGTCATTTCTTTGTTTGTATTGAGCATTAATATTCCTATTATTGCTTTTCTTTTATTATTGCTGGAGACAAACATTTTTCACTTGTTTGCCATTATGTTACTTAGTCAGTTATTTACTTGGGGGATTGTTGATGATCTTTGTGGTGGCTTTTTAATAAGTGTATTCCTTTTGCTGGTTCCCGTGATATGTGCATTTGATGGCTTTTTCTGTTGTTGAAGTTAGTACAAGTCAATTGTGTGATTTAGTCACTCAGTCATGGTGGCTCAGGAACAGAGGGACTGTGACCACTGTTTCAGGAGTGGGGAGAGAGTACTGAAAACAGAAGGATCCTTGGACGGGTGTAAGTTACACTTCAGTGTGGAAGCCTAGACTATTTTTTTTTTATAAAAATATATGAATCGTATTGTTTTTTGGGAGAAATAAACAGCACTGAGGAAAATGAAGCATGGGAAGAGAGGAAGACAAGGTATGTTGTACAGAGGAGAGGGCTTACAGTTTTAGATGGAATGGTTGGAAAAGGTTTTCCCAGAAATGATCCTTAAACCAGTCCAGAAAGAAAGTTGGGAGAGACCCCTTGGATGTCGGGGGTACTGCATTCCAGGCAAAGGGAGGAGCCAGTGCAAAGGCTGTAAGGTGGCATGAAGGACCAGGAAGTGGAGCAGAGTGAGTGGAGAAGAAGGTGCCACTCAAGGGTATGAGAACAGCAAGGAGACTGGGGAGTGGGGTTGCACGGCCCCTTACTGCTGCTATATGGATTTAACTCTTACTCAAAGTGAGAAACCAAGCCTTTGGAGGGTTTGAAGTTATGGAGGCCTGGTCTGGCTTTTGTTTAAGTGGGATCTCTCTGAATGCCTTGTTGAGAACAGGTTAAGGGCACAATGGTAAAAGTTAGGAGCCAGTGCAGGGACCCAGATGAGAGGCCGGGGCCTCGGACCATCCAATGGTGAGGGATTCTGAGAAGAGAGGGCAAAAAGTACTTTCTTACTCACTAGATGTGGGCTGGGAGAGAAAAAGAGGAATAAAAGAGGAGGACAGGGTTTTAGGCTTGTGTTCCTAGCAGAATGGAGAGTTGTGCAGAGAGGCAGGGAGTTTAGAACTGCAGAGAGAACCAAGTCCAGCCATGTGAAGGCTGGAGTGTCGCTGACCACCCTATGGGACAGTGGTGGCAAACCATGGCATGTGTGTTGCTTGTTTTTCTTTTGTGGTAAAGTATGTTATTTATAAGCTGTTTTTTCTAAACTAAAACCTCAGTGTTTAGGTTTAGTTGTCATGTTGGCACTTTGTGATTAATAAGTGGGTTTTTGGTTGCTATTTGGCATCGGTCCCTAAAAGGTTCACCAGCACTGCTATAGGACGAAGCATTGGTCTCTGAGAGTAGGGCCTGGAGACCAAGGGCTGCAGGGAGATAGGACAGTGGTAGTCATCGCAGGTAGGTAGTGTTGGAAGCCACGTTGCACCCTTGGCTGGGGTGCCAGTGCTATCTAACACCACTGTGCCTTCACTTAAAGCTATCAACTGGATGTGAACTTCAATTTTGTGCTTTTGAAATGGTATAATGTAACACGTGCAAGACTTTTTTATGCAAAAATGTGGAAAAAGTTAAGATCTCTAAAATTAAACTTGGTTGTGACTTATTTCACAATACTCAGGATTTCAAGAATATATCACTTGCACAAAAATATCATAGCCAGTAGAGGCAGGCAGATGGAGGCCTTCTAAGCTTGGCCTATTTGTATTCACACATTTGATCGTGGTGTTTGTTTTTCAAAGTTCAGTCCTTAGAAGTTCACGTGCACATCCCCCAGCACTCTGCCATTCTTATTCCTTCTGGATGTCTTAATTTAGAGAACGAGACCCAGGAAAGCTGATGTGTGTCCCTTCCCCGGATACAGAAGATATCAAAGCCCCTCTTGGCACTGTGGGAGGAATTGTCTGACAGGCTCTGGGACAGACAGCAAGAGCAGCAGTAGCTGCTCCTCATCCTTCTGCTACTCCTCCTCCTCCTCTTCTTACTCCTCTTCCTCTGTGTTCTTCCTTTTCCTTTCTTTTTGCAAATTGGGGTTTGAACTGGGACTTTCACACTAAGATATATCACCAGCCCTTTTCAAAAAATTTATTTTGGCACAGGTTTCAATAGGTCACTAAGTTGCCCAGGCTGGGCTCAAACTTGGATTCCTCCTCCCTCAGCTTCCCAATGTGCTGGGAGTACAGGTATGCATCACCATGCACAGGCAGACAACAAGAGCTTCCTACTCCAGAGACTGGCTGGGGGAGGGGTGCTTCAGGAGCCATTGGCCCAGCTCAGCCCCTGGAGCCTTGCTGTGGCCTTGGCCTGGCTGGTTCCTGTAGCAATCCTAGCAATCCAGGCTCTCTTCTTTCTTGGACAACTTCCCTGCCATTTCCAAAGCAGTCAGCTGCCTGCTCTGGCAATAGCTTCATTCACTGTTTTATTTTTCCTTTCTGGAGAGATCTTCCTGTTTTTCCCTTGTTTTCTCCATAAATGTTCCCTTTCTCTTCAAACTGTTTTCTTTTAATTCTACATCTGACACTGAACCCAGAGCCTAAGTCATCATCCACCACAAATTATCAGTAGTTCTACTTAACTTCTGGGTTAAGAGGCCTTCACTCTCCAACTTTCCCAGGAAGGGAAGGACCCTGTTCACATGCTACACTGTTGGAGTAACACAGAAAGAGAAAAACTGGCCTGCCACGGTGACACAGAAAAGCAGTGTAGGTGTGCATCCATCACCTGTCATGCCTCGCTGTTGACTGCCACTGTGAGACTGCTTCCACTTCATTCTATTGCTACAAGGAGCCATCCAGCAGCAGGGAGTGAGGGTCCCTCAAGGAGAGAATTCTGCTGCGACCTGCACAGGGAGCAGGTTCCTGAGAGGAGGCATGGAAGATTAAAAAAAAAAAATATGAAACTATAGACACATACTAAAAGCAAAGCTAGGACCAGGTGGGACCTGATGTTTCTGGTGGAGAGGCAGTAACAATGCCCCAAGCCCAGTGTCTTTATTATATGTGGTTAAAAGTGGGGAGGGGAGCACATGGTGGAATCAAAAATGCAAGATCTCAGAACACTGGAAGCGAAGCATGCTCAGGGCTCTCCGTGTTGTAGTCCACAGGGAGGAGCCCCGAGGCCAGATACCTGCTGGACTGGCCCCAATCGAGTCCCAGCAGCTTGTTTACATGGCTCACCTCTGGCACTCCGTGCTCTCAGGGCTGGCCGTGCTCCAGCACCAAGGAGTTTGTTGACTTCCAGCTCA